TCTTCTGCCCTTAAGTTCCCACGATGTTTAAAGCAGTCAAGGGACTGATGATGATGATGATGATGATGATGATGATGATGATGATGATGATTAGAAGGCATAAGAGTCACTCAAGATAGACTGTTACTGAATGATATGAATGTAAGAGGAGGAAGTAGGAAGTGAAGATTATGAAAATAATGAGGGTAGATAATGATTGACCCTTAATTTGAAGAGGTTAATATTGTAGTGTTTGGGGAAGGATCCACATGGGAGCCTGTTCTACAAGGTTCTTGGAGAGAAAATCTGTCTGACTTCTTCCTTACAAATGGAATACAGGGGGATGAAAGTGATTTGATTCCATAGTTAGTTTTAACTATAATGGTCAGAACAAGTGAAATTAAAGAATGAAAGACTGTAAGGATGTAAAGGGCAATTAGCTTACTGTAAATCAGATGAATTCATGAATCTCACATGACAACCAGTGAGTGACATCAGTTCATAGAGTGGCAAAATCCAGTAGTTATGTAAACCGTGAAAAAAAATGGATGTTACAAGCAATAAGACAAACAGAGGAACCCAGATAATCTCACTAGAAATACAGAAGATACCATTGGGCTGGCTGTTTTCCATTCAGGAAATATTACAAGAAAAACCCTCTTGCTTCTCACCCTTTCCTACTGCTTGTTGTATTCAGATGTTATAATTTCTCTGTGTGTGACAAATTAGTAACATGTATTTATATCTCTGTATATAATTTCTTTTATGACATATAATGGTATTTAAAATTTTCTTGAGAACAATACCTGTTTAGCATTCCTCTTTTTTAGCTATTCTTTTACATCTGTTGTATTAAGGTGTTGGTATATCATTGATATATTAACTCTTACAATGGGGAAATAAAAACTGGAAATATTCTTTCTTTCCTTGTCTTCCCATTAAGACCAGATAAGTCTCTAAAATGAACAAGCTGTACATCAAAAATATTGTTATGATGTGCCTTGCTTGCCTCCTGTTTCTGGTTAGTAAAATATATATTCATCACAACAACAAAGTGAGACATTTATAATATATACTAGCAGCATGGCCAGGCATTGCCCGTGCTTGATCAAAAATCGTGCGACTCATACAGCAATCACTATCACTTGACTTAAAATATTTTTGCCCTTCCTTGCCTTTAAAGGAGTGACCTTTGCCATGCTGATGTTGCTAAATGCCTTACTTCTTGCCTATCTCACACTGCAAATTTTTTCTAAGGTCTATATTAAACATTAAATCTGTTACGAAAAAAAAACTAAACAAAATGAACACAAAACCATCAGCTTTAAAAAAGGTCTCATAACTGGAAAAACTGAATGAAAAAAGAATATTAATAACAAATACTTTTTCACATCCAACCCAGTTCTGTGGAATCAGAATCAACGTTGAGTTTAAGCAAGCGAATGAGCCAATTGGAGTAAAGTGCCATGCAGATTTAAATTTTTCCCACTTGTGACAAATGCAGCTATTGATTTTTTTTGTATGCTACCATGCTAGTTAACATTCATGTCAGTCAGCTGTTGGCTCTCACGCTGGCCAATAGAATCTTCCTGCCTATTCGTGGCAGCCAGCTATAGGCTCTAACTCTGGCCAGTAGAAAATGGCCACAAACTACATGAAAAGCGCCATAGAAGCATGAAAAAAATCGATTATTTCCACTATCAATGGGAGTTTGGAAATGCAAAGTGGGTCTTGGCCTTCCCGTTTTGTTACACACACACACACATCCTGCCTTTTATAGAGATAATCAGAAGGATTTATTATCAGGAGGATTTTGTTGTACTAGTTCGATGAAGTATGAAAGTCAAATGTTTGCTTCAAGGCTTGATACTGTAGCTATATTGAGAAACAAAAAAATCTAATTTCTATAATTCCATAGAGAAAAACAAAACTGTCCTACTGGCAGGAAATATAGAGATGTTCTCTTTTCAGCCGGTCGCTCGCAAGGAGAGCATGTGCAATTGAGCAGCTCCAGAAATGAAGACCACAGATAAGTCAACTTACCAAAATATCACTTTCTTATGTTTAGTATCATTTTTTACTGGTAGACTTATTACTTCCAAATAACCTATTCATTCTCTCAATACAAACACAAATCAGAAACATTTACTAACAGCCACATTACAAGAACTTTCATATTCCATCAAACTTGTACAACAAAATTCTTCTGATAATAAATCCTCCTGATTATATACAGTGGGGAAAATAAGTATTTCACCTGCTGCTGATTTTCTGAGTTTGCCACCTTACAAAAATAGGAATGGTCTATAATTTTCAGAGTAGGTCTGTCTTGATAGAATACAAACTTTAGTTTAAAGGTGGTATAAGGCACTGGAAAATCAGGGAAAATACATTGATGACAAAATATCCTATGAATTTTTATGACTAAAGGATTTTGCACAAATTATTGCAAAATTTAAATCAACCTCAAATGATGAAATTTGTAAATTAACTGAATGGTGGCATTAGGATCATAGAAATCTAGGGAAAATAATGAATATGGCATGTATTTATATGATTAAAAGACTTTGTCAAAATATGATAGAAAAAACATCAACCTTATAAAAATACTTTTAGTAAAATAAGATAAGATGCTACTTTATGCACAAACAATAGCATTTTTTATTGTTTTTAGGTAAAGGCAGTTTCTGCATAACAAATAGTTTCTAATTGTATGATGATATTTAATCTGACTTAGTGTTTTAACAGAAAATGGAAAATGTCATCCTGAAGTCTGAAGGAACATTGGAATAATGATGCTTTCCAAAAGCTATGCAATTAATAAACAGGAAAATTTCAAAAGGAAAGAGTACTGAACTATGATATGATATCGGTCCTCTTATAAGTCAGTGAAAGCTGGACAATCTCTTCACAGATGAGACAGCAGAAATGTAGTTCTAGAAGTGGATCTTGAGAATACCATGAACTGAGCATGTGACCATGAAGAAGTTTTAGGGAAAATGGAAACAAAAAAACATACTATAAAGCAGAAAGAGATAGTGATTTTTGGGTTACATAATGAGGAAAGAGAGTTTGGAGAATTTTACACTCACAGGACAAATCAAAGGCAAGAGGGGCAAGGGGAAACAGCAAGTAACTTACATAATGAGCTTGTGTAAATGGATGTCAGATCAGGGAGTGGGAAGAATAGTAAAAAGGCAAACATTACCAAGAGCTTCAAAGTACAGGAAGTCGTGCAGAGCTATGATCAGCCATGTCCTGTAGGGACACAGTATATAAAAGATAATAATTGTTGACTAATTATGATAACAATATCAACATCTAAGTCAGCTGACACTGGTAATCTTTACTATAAGGAGGTCAGGTAAGTCCCAAAAGTTTAATTGCTATTCAAAACTGCTTTGCTATTCACTTTGAAGAGATAGTTACAGCTGAATAAATAGACTTAATGAGTCTTAATGAGCTAAAATCCTGTGTTAAAATCTCAGCTGTTTTACTATTTTTTAAGGACCCAAAATTACTGAAAACTTCTTGAATTCCATTAGCTGATTAATTAATCAATCAGGACTAATTAATCAACCAGTCAGAAAAATGGGAATAAACTTGACTTTGATAAATACAAAACTAATTATTACTTTCTTCACATTGCAGTTAATTAAATTAGGTTGATGCAAAAGTTCCCATCACCATCTTTTGTTCAATCTTAAAGAAATCTTAGAAGTTTACTCAACTCTTCATTGCTTATACATGAATCTCTATCTATAAAAGGCAGGATGTATGTGTGTGTGTGTGTGTGTGTGTGTCCTTTATCTCTATCTATAAAAGGCAGGATGTGTGTGTGTGTAACGAATGCACGGCCACAATTTTTGACGGATTTGAACCAAAATTTACATGCACATGCTCCAAGGTAGTGGATAGGCCAAGACCGACTTTGCATTTCCCAACTCCCATTGTTGGTGGAAATAATCGATTTTTTTCATGCTTCTATGGCAGTTTTCATATAGTTTGCGGCCATTTTCTACTGGCCAGAGTGAGAGCCTATAGCTGGCTGCCACAAATAGGCAGGAAGATTCTATTGGCCAGCATGAGAGCCAACAGCTGACTGACATGAATGTTAAGTAGCATGCAAAAAAAATCGATAGCTGCATTCGTCACAAGTGGGAAAAATTTAAATCTGGATGGCACTTTACTCCAATTGGCTCATTCGCTTGCTTAAACTCAACGTTGATTCTGATTCCACAGAATTAGGTTGGGTGTGAAAAAGTATTTGTTGTTAACATTCTTTTTTCATTCGGTTTTTCCAGTTACGAGTCCTTTTTTAAAGCTGATGGTTTTGTGTTCATTTTGTTTAGTTTTTTTTTCGTAACAGATTTAATGTTTAATATAGACCTTAGAAAAAAAAAAAAAAAAACTCAAGGAAAATTTCAGAAGCTATAAAAATGGGATGTTGATTTTATGATATGTCAACCCCTGTTAGATTATTTAAAGTCAAAATCAGTTTTTAAAAATTATATCTGAGTCTGTAAGCACTCATTTGGTTCATGGATCATAAAATATTAGTTGTTTATATTTGAATCAGTAAGCATTTAGAAATGTGAAAGTAGTGTAATGGATGTTAGCATAGAAAGTGGAATTCGTAAGCCAAGTTCAAATTTCAGGCTATTCTGTTTCCATTGACTTTCATACTAGGCCCTTGGAGAAGGCAGGAATAGGTCTCTTCTTCCTGCTTCCACCAACTTAGATGAGGCTCTCTAGCCTTGGATGGCAACCAGTCTAAGAGAAGGAAATTCTAAATTCCAAACCATGCAGAAGGAAACTACTCCACTATCTTTCCCAAGTATGTTTAGCATTTCACAGATAATAAAGAAATGTAGTCTGTGGAGAGCCATGATCATCTATGTTCTGAAAGCATATGACATTAAAAAAGTTAAAAAAAATGAAAGCATTTACTTGGTAGGCTGTTCCTTTGTGTGGGTGATGTCATCCCTTTACAGATAGCATATTATTCTAGACTCCACTAGTTAAAACACTGGTTCTTGTCTGATCACTGCGGTTAAACAACATCAAGCTTGATCAATACCTGGATGGGTGACCACTTGGGAATACCAGGTGATGTAAGCTTGGATGTGCAGATGGTGTAATGGATAATGACTTGGAATTGAAAATCGATGAGCCAAGTTCCAATTCCACTTGAGTTTGTTATATTCACTTACATGCAAATACCCTTTGAAAAAGTATGAATCCACCTCCCCACCCCACCAACTATTGATTAATTGATAGATCTTGTATCAGTAAAAATCATTATTATCTCCAAAAATTCCTTACAATCTAAAAATATTTTCTGCCAAAGTTTGATAAGCCATAAAAAACAAGTTGAGCATTCACTGGACCAAGTTGTCACCATCTTTCACCTTTTTTCTCTTCAAAAAGTCTACATGCATACATAGCATTGTCTTTGGCTCATTCTTCCAGCTTCATTTGCAGGCAAATATTCCAGAAAATAACGTAGCTTTGTGAATTCTAGTAAATGTTAGGTTGTTTATAAAATAATATCAGTTTTTAGAATAAATCTTTTAATTGTTTTCTAATATATTATTATAATATTTATTTTTCAGTGTAGCAATGTTGCAACTGAACATGGCACAAGGTCAGTTTAAGGTGGGTTTTACATCAATACAGTGAGAAAATTGCTCAAGCCTCCTTAGCACTGCCCCTTTTGGGGATGCCTCAGGGGCCAGTAATGACCCCAGCCCACTTCTGAAGAAGAGGTACTGCTTGGGGGGATGGCGCTTGAGATAATATTAATTTCATACAATCCCAGCTGAATTATTATAATAGTTGCACAAAAATATATTACTCATTTCTAATGAATAAAGTGTCCTCTTTGTTAATTTTATATCAATCTCTTTCAAAATTTAACTTAAAACATTATATACCCATCATCTTGAACATGAAAAAAAAGAGATTCATTTACTTTTTTTGCATGAATTCAAACTTGGTCATCATGCTTTTCAAACTGCTGCCTACATTAACAGAGCATAGGGTGAAGGATCCAATTGTGATTGGACCATACAGCATTGGTTTCTGAACTTCCACAGTGGAGATACACGTGATTATCTCCCTTGACTGAAATGAAGTCAAGTGTGTCATGTGACAGCCACTTAGGGACATCAGTTCATTGACTCACAAAAGTAGTCAGTCATGAACTGGTTAGCTTCCAGGAGTCAAACCAACAAATTGCTTTTTTAACACAGGCGATGCTTTGTTTCACTCGGGCCAGCTGCCATGTGGGGCAGCTCACAAGCACTGATGTCCTTACTAGAGACAAATAAGATGATAAATTTGGATGACTTGAATTATAGAAGCTATCTCTGGCTCACAGGCTTCATGACTTACTGTTTTCCATTTTAAGAAATATGTCCTCACTAGTGACATAATATATAAATCTGGCCCATTCATATTCTCTGTCGGGAAATATAAATAAGGCTTCTCCAGGAACATAGAAGAAACCTCCAGCAGCTCAAATTCCCATTAGGAATTAATACAAGTAAGACATTATGTTTCTTCAATATTTGTGCACTACTTGTTGTTACATACATGTGTTATAGTTTCTCTGTATGGGCTAAATGTAAAAGTCTGTATATAATTTTGTATATGACTTAGCAGTCTAAAATTCTCGCTGATAACAAAGCATGTTTTCCATTCCTCTTCTTTCAGTTTTTTCGTTCAGTTCATATATTAAGATGTTATTATATAATGGATATAATAATGCCCATAATGGAAGAAATGCAAACTGTAAGAATATTCCTGTGTGTAGATGTTCAGGTTTCTTATTTTGCCTGATTTAAACACTGTTTAAATACATTAATTCAGGAATAAATGTTGATTCTGAAATCAGGCATTATTTTTTGAACAACCTAATAGTAACCTCATGAACCTAGAGTTGTCAGTTAGTCCCTTAGAATCAAATCATGACTGAATGAGGATATCTACTAATTTCAATTGCTGAAAACACTGGTTCTCTTTTGATTAGCAAAGTTAAGGAATTTTCCCAGTTGCTTCTGTGTGTTTGTGTTTACTTGGTAATGAGAGAAGTATGAACAAAACCCAAGACTCTAAATAACTGTGTAACAGAGAATTGGGTAAGCCCAAGAAAAGACTCTGAGTTGGTTGTATGGGGTGCCGTAAGCACCAAGAGTTGCGTTTACCTTCCACAATAGGCTGTTGAGAGAAGACCTTCTACTTAGAGTAAGTGGCACTGACTATTTGCATATGAACAATACTAGGCAGGTATTAACCAATAGTTAGTATGGGTCTGGGACTGAGATAGATATATAACACCAGTGTTTTCCTCAGTTGAGAGGAGTGCTCCTGATGTGCAGATGTGTGAAGACCAGACCAGACCAGACCAGACCAGACCAGACAAGACCAGGCCAGGCCAGGCCAGGCCAGACAAACACAAACTATTCAACAGCTTTTATTTGTAGCTGAAAGAGAGTGCAAAATAATAGTATTTTGCAGGAAAAAAGTTGGGTTTCCCAGTTAACAAAGTTCTTGAGTAGATGTTTTGTAGAGAGAGATTTTCCTTCTTGTTTCCACAGGAAGAACAAGAAATCTGAGTGCCAAACTGCTAGGACTGGTTTGGGTTTTCTGAGACAAGGGTTGTGTGTAGCTTTTCTTTTGGGTATTTATCTCAGAGGGTGATTTCTCCATCTGTTCCCATGAGGAACAAGAAATCTGAAGTCAAGCAGCCAGGACAAGACTCATGTCTCCTGCAGCAAGGGTTGAGAACCCTTTCATGCTGAGATTTGAAGGTTGAAAAGAGGCTGAATAGGGCTCAGTCAGTGTTTTTTTGACTTTTAGGATTCAAGTTGTACCCTGTTGATTACTTCTGTTGCTGTTATTGCTGAATCAAGCAAATTAAGGAAGCCCCCTCATGCCACAATAGCCAACAAGTGATATAGTTTCTATAGGGTTGAGCCCAGTCAATACTTAGATGAAAGATGGATTGCAAACACCAGATACTTTAAGTAACCACCTAATATTCCAAAATACAGGCATCCCTTGATTAATGCACATTTGATTAATGTGTTTTTTGATTAGTGTGCTAAATTTTTTATATACCAAAATTTGATTAGTGCATACATAATACTTGTTTAGTGCTGTAAAACATTCTTCTGTTTAACCATAGTAATTTAAAATTGATTTTTTATAATTACTGATGTACAAATTATCCACACTAATCAAGGGATTCTTGTATATTTCAGCTTTAAATAACCCACAAAACATTGATAAGCAATAAAAAAACAAAACAATCAATGATCTGCTGATTTCCAATGAAACATCAATTGTTGTTCAACATGCAGGCATACTAGTTTTTATAACAAATTGGTTTCATAAACCAAAAACATATCAGTAAATCTGTTTATGGTTCAGACTTAATCTCAAGGTTTTTTACAAGGACATGATGACAAAGTATAAAAAAGAAAAACAAAAAGAAGTCATTATCTCTTGAAATTGTCTCATTAATTCTTGCCAGTGGAAGAGGTTTCAATAATAGAAATGCCTTTTTGGCATCAATTCTTTAATTGCATGAATTCCAACAAACATTTTTTTTTCTTTTTTGTATCAATTGCACTCCACTCACAATTTCATATCATGCTGAAACACCAGTTCCTACATGATCACTGGTTAAGCAATATCAAGCCTGGTCAGTAGCTAGAAGGGTGACTGCTTGGGAATAGCAGCTTGGATGTGTGGATGGTGTAATGGATAATGACTCAGACGTTGATTGGAGAGTTGAGTTCAATTACCTATTAGATTTGTTATATTCATTTACATGCAAATACTTTTGGAAAAGATAGGAATCCACAATTTCTCCCTTCAGCTATGAGTTAATTAGTAAGATTAGTATCACTAAACTATTATCTAAAACAAAAAAATTCTAACAATCTAAAAATATTTTTGAATAATCTGCAAAGGGTTGATAAGTTGTAGAAAAGGAATCAACCAAACAAACCACAATTTTACAAGTTATTCAAAATTTTAAAAAAATATTTAAAAGATTTGTTGTTATTTTCATCATTCTACAGTCATAGAAGAAGAGTTTCGAAAATTAACATATATTTTTAAATTAATAATTTTTCTTTAATTGCCAGTTGTAAATGTCTTCAAGAAAATTATATTTACATTGTATTAATTGCTAGATCATAAAGAAATTTTTTTCTGAAGAATTAGTCTTTAAAAAAACTTGAATTCATTTACATCTATTTCATATGATAAATAGCTATGCAAAAAAAAGGAGTTGTTAAGAAAAAAATATTACTGTAAAATGGTAATACCAAAATATAATATCAACTACCAATTAATAACAGCTAATATGATTTATCAGTCCTCTCTTATCCAAGTAAAATTTGAGGACAAAAATATGCACACCGACTAAAAATTTATATGACCCCAGACTAATGTTATATGCAACAAATATATATATATATATATATATATATATATATATATATATATATAGGTACCTCAAAGATTTTTTCTAAAAATTGAGCAATGATGAAAAAATGAGCCAAACTTAATAAAAACAAGGTTTTATCATCAAATCTTTATGTTGTTATTGGCTTGCAAGCCTCACTTCCCTTGTCCTAACATTATATCTTAAATTCTGTTATAACGAAATGAGGAAAACAATGAGTGCAAAGGAAGCCTATAAGCAAAAAAAAGTAAATCCATTTTGTGCTGAATGTAAACATAATCCTCCCCTTTGCCTTGAGTGTTTCAATAAGAGACATATAAAATAAGAATCAATTCAACTTTTCCTAGCCGTGTAGCAAAGTGTGCTTTTATATTTTTTCTTTTATATCTTTTCAAGAAATCAGACATTAGGAATATAATGTTTTTTTATTTATTAGGAATGCGATTTCTATTAGATTAGAATTCTTGTGTTTATTTTACTGGTTGTAGGTACTGTTTTGGTTTCCTAAGTAAATGAAGTATACTTTTTTTAATTTCATAATGTTTTGCCAATTATATTTTCTGTTGACTTAGTCTTTTAGTTTACCTGAATGCATGGTACAGCTCTGTGTATGTAAAAATAAATGACCCCAAAAAACA